AGGCAGGAATAAAGCACAGAACACGTGTATGAGAGAAAACTCAGGAAAAGGAGAGCTCAGGGTGGGAGGAAGGAGGTAGTGTCCGCTTTCCCAGGGTCACAGGGCCCCAAGAACAGTACCACATAAAGAGATACAATGAATCAGCCGGTGAATGTCTGTCGTGCCAAGAGAAGACCCAGGTGGCCACGACCTAGTGCCAGCACGGCACTCCCAAGCAGGGAGATCTGATTTGGATTTCATCACCATGATGCAAAATAAGTAAATGCAGAATTTCAGTAACAGGCAAAAGCTCCAGATGGATATATTCAGACACATGGAAAATAAATCTCATGGAATCGTTAGGCAAATCTAAACCCTTCGACTCTTTCTGTGGGAAAGAGATCTGGTGACGACCACAGGCCATCGACCTTGAAAGGTTCCAAGACTTTCTGCTGGATTCCGCTCTGATAAAGAATCGCTTTATCCTGTGACCTTCCAGCAAAGGCTCTTCTTCTGGGCTTTCATTGAATACTCCCTTCCTTCATGGGCAGGAAAGGTTACTTCTGTTTTCTCTAACTTATGTTGTATTTTTTTAAAAGATCCCTTTATTTAATTCTTACAAAGAAAACAACTGTAAGAAAGAAAGGAAGCAAGCAAGCAAGTTTTGACCTTTATTTGCTAAATGAGATGTTTTACCAACAGCTATAGGTGATTATGTTCTCACTACTCTGAACAAGTACCCTTTGTACCCACTGGCATAAGAGAAACAAATGACTACAGCTCAAGGCTTAGTCTTGAGTGAGCAGAGAAAGAAATATATATAATATTATATAATATGCAAGAAGAGACCTGAAAAAGGTGAAGGACGAGGAAGGAGGGTACACAAGAACTCCTTCCTTTTTTCATTGAATCACTGCAGCATGTATAGCCTCTTAATTTCAACTTGGCTGCTAATGAGCTTCGTTTCCACAACTGGCCCGTTCTCCTCAAGGTGGCTGCATATCTGAGACAGCAATGGCAAAGGTCTGTGGTTGGCAGTCACCGCCATTGAGATGCGCGATACACTGGTCGCACTATCTAGACCGACAGCTGAGCGCAGGCTCTCGGACAAAGAATGCCTGTGCTCCACTTCCAGATGCACTCGGCGGCTTGGTTAGTGCAGCTCCAGTGCCCGAAAGGTAGCGGTTCTGGGACATTTCGGTGTTCTAAGAACAATCAGAAAAAAAATAACTCTTTGAATTCACGGAAATCTGCGTGGTGATTACAATACTGGACCAAAACGCCAATCCCAGTATTTCTGTATTCAGAATCCACAAAAAGAAATGGGTGAAAGTGAGCATTTAATATATTTTAAATAGAGAGATTCATCATCATCATGTAAAATGCAAAAAAATACAACCCAAATATTATCACCCTATTAATAATTATTAGAATTTTAAAACCTAAGTATTAAAAAAGGAAACATTCTCAAAAATGAAAAAACACTCAGTCACGAGCCCTGGCAAGTGCGGCTCAGTTGGTTGGGGGGTCATCCCGTGACTGAACGGTCGTGGGTTCGGTTCCCAGTCAGGGCACAGGCCTACGGTGCCCATTTGATCCCAGGCCGGGAGTGCACAGGAGGCAACCAATACGTTTCTCTCTCACGTCAGTGTTTCTCTCTGTCCCTCACTCCCTTCCTCTCTTGCTAAAAGCAAGGAAAATGTGTCCTCAGGTGAGGATTTAAGAAAAAATTATGTTATGAAAAGATAAAATAAAACTGTTTTATTTAAAATTGTATGAGGAAGCTTCTTAAAGTGTATAAATGTTATTGCCATTGAATTGAGAATATATTTTGGTGCAAATTTCTTCACTGCTAAAAAAAACAAAAATGAAACACTAGTCAGGACAGTGCTGATGTCTTAATGCTCTCTCGCCAAATATTTTTCCAACTTCTTCATCTTCAAATATTCAGAACTCATATTGGATAACTTTGAGGAGGAATATTTTATATATAATTTTTGTTGGGGAAGGGGGAGGAGAGAGGGGCAGGGATGAAATAAATTTATTTGCCTCGAGCCTCAGTTTGCCTGAAAGCAAGAAGCAAGCATTTTCCATCTGCCTTCCTCGTCTTCAGTTTGCTCATTCATGGTGGCCATTCCAGTGCCCCACTGCCTGTGTCGGCTTCGAAACCTCTCCCATTACAGCCGCAGGCCCTTAATGACCCTTAGTCAGTCACACCCTGACACAATCTCTCACATAATACCGTCCCCAGGAGAGCAGGCACAATCCTGACTTGTCTCTACCGAATAGAATACAGCAACGCCGAAAGGACAGTGGGTCCCTGAACAGGTCACCTGTGGAAGAGCCCATCTTAGCAGGATGGGTAAGAGATTCCCCTGCAGGACTGCAGCTGCCACGTTGTCACAGGGCCTGCAAGAAGCAAGTGGCCACATGGAAAGAAATGTGCACAGCACCTAGCAGATGAGACCTCCCCGGGTGACATCCAGCAAGAAAACAGGGGATCTCAGTCCTACAACCTCACCTGAATTCTGCCAACAACCATATGTTCTTAGAAGGGGGGGAAAAACACACACACACAATAAAACCCAAAATTCAGAAAGAAACACAGCCCAGTCGAAATTTTGATGGCATCTTTGTGAGACCCTAAGTAGAGGATCCATCTAAAGCTGCACCCAGATTCCTGGTCCATAGAAACTGTGGGGTGATATTTCATTACACATTGTTTAAGACCACTCATTCATTGGTGCTCATTTGTAATGCTGCAATCTACAACTAATGCACACGCCATCCTCCACTTTGAACTCCAATAACAAGTATTCTTGCAAAAAGAATACTTGTGTTGCCAGTTGTTATATTCTTCTTCCTTGTGAGGACTGCAGAAATATCACAGATTGCTTTACAGATATGGACACCTTGATCCAAATCAAAACTTTTAATGCAGAATATAATTCTCCAGGTATGAGTCTCAAGCCATAAATGAGTTCAACAATTTTCAAAATACTATTATTTCACAGGTACTTGAAAATTGGAGAGTGTACCTCCAAACCAGTTTTTAAAAAGTGTGCACTTCATTGTTTTTAAATAAACTTATGCTTTGCAAAGGCAGTGTACCATTCCTGTATATTCCACACCCAGTTTCCGCTATGAATAACATCTTACATTAGCATGATACATTTTTCACAGATAATGAACCAGTACCGCTATCTTATTATCAACTCGACTCCATACTTGATTCATATTTCCTTATTTTTTACCTAACGCCTTTTTCCTGTTCCAGGGTCTCGTCCAGGACACCACACCTTAGGCTTCACTTGGTTGTCACAGTTTCTCAGACTTCCTTTGATTTTGGATGACTGGGGGAGGTTTGAGGACCACAGGCCAGGCCTGATTTATAGGCTGTCCTTCTATTAGAATTTGTCTTATGTTTCTCTCTTCATTAGACCACGGTCATGCATTGCAGAGAGAAAGGCCACAGAGGCAAAGTGCCATTGTCATCACGTCATATGACGCACACCTGCTATCAACACCACACTGCACTGCGGATGCCACCCTGGGTCACCGGATTTGAGGTAGTGCCTGTCAGCTAGCCTACGGTTAGGTACTCTTTTATTCCTCGCTTTCTATTCTGTACTCTTTGAAAAAGAGTTATAATGTGCAGCCCCCATTGGGAGTTATGCTTTCTATCCTAAAAACCAGAGTATTCCACATGCATTATTTGGAATTCTGCATGGGACAGTTCTCTAGACTCCTCAACTACGTATCCAATCATTTACTTGTATCAGTATAGATACTTATAGTATACTTTGGGTTATATTCCGATACTAATTTATTTATTTCATTGCTCAAATTATTCCAGCTTCGGCCACTGGGGGTGCTTTCTATCCTTTTGACCCCTATTGCATGGCACTCACCAGTGTGAATAGGCTATTGTGATTTTTTCCTTTAGCACTTCCTTACTTTCTGGCACTATACAAAATACTCCAGGCTCATTTCACACATTTCTTGCCACGGTCTTAAATCAGCCATTTCTCCAAAGATCTCTGGTTCTTTTTATTCAGAAACAGTCATTGGAAGCCAAGACTTGGGTGGTAGGTTGTGTTTATTGTTACTGAAGTGTCTTTGCTTCTAGGCCAAACCAGTTTTCCAGTCTCTTAGTATGGGACCTTGGAGTGTCCCTATATGCTTAATTTATTTCAACTTATTAGTAGCCCCATTTTCTAGACAGAAACACAGAGGCCCTGCGAGGTTTGGGCACGGGCTCAAAATCATGCAGCTGGTAAACGGAAGGGCCAGGATGGATGCCAAGCATCTCCAGATTGGGGGCACTAACCACTGTACCACATGGCCTCACAGTGGTGAGGACCTTGCAAAGCATAAAATTGATGGATTAATTAATCTACCTACTCATTCTCTAACTACTATCTATTATGTGCTCATTGGGTGCCAAACTCTCTGCTAGATATTAATTACTGCTCAATGCAATTTAAGATATTTCTTGGGCCGTGTCTCATTTAAGATAAAGGAGGAAGCTGTCGTAATGGGCTCTTGAGATGTGTTGTAAGCTGCCTGGGATGCAGCTGGCGTCCACATGGTGACAGAGGATGACTAGAATTAGTGGGGCGATCACACTGTGAGGTGTAAAAATGTCCAATCACTATATCATACACCTGAAATGAACCTAACCAACATAAGATCGTATACTAACTATACTAAAATAAAAAATAAATTAATGAAATTAAAAATAAAAACTATTCCACTTTGTGGCTGCGAATATACTTTATTATGCTACAGGGTGGTGGGTAGTGCCTTATTTATTTTATTTATTTCCATTCTATCATTATCATTTCCACAAATTTTAAAGAGGGCCTTTAATATCTTTTTCTATCTAAGAAACTCACATTCATTGTGCTACTATTCACTGATAAAATATTTGAATGAAATTCTCTCTTGTGAAAACCACTGAACAAAACTGCAATTTCCATGTACAGTTGATTGAAAGAAAAATTAAAATGTACACTTACTTTTGACTGTCACCAGTGAGTCGTTCTAAGAGATGGAAGTTGAGATGATCTAAAAGAAAACAGACAAAATAACCCTGCTGAATGCAAATATACTAATGGACTGTTTCCAAGGTCGTCATCCCACCTGTTTTAGTGGCTGTAGTGTCGATAGCACCTTTGGGAAAGGTGGGGTAGAGGTGGGGCTCTGCAGAAAGGACTTAAGAAGGAAGACTTCTTTTGATATTTACAAAACTCATCTACTATATTTATTGACTTCTTGTTGGCATTTATAAACTCCTTGGAATAGGATACAGATTCAAGGAAAGGGTCACTCAAGAACATGGGCCTTCATATGTCGGCTCAGAGCAAGTACCAAGTGAGCTGCCTTCAACACAAACCAAAGCTCAGGGACACTCCAAAAGAGAATTAGACACAGTGCTCTGGTGCACAGTGCTATAGTGCAACGACAAGAAATCACAGTAACATAGGTCAATGAATGGAAACAGTGCATTGGTTTGATTCATAGGTCAGAAGAAAGGGATGATCAAAGGGGTGGGCCTGTGAGAAGCCTCCCCCTGCGGCTGACTGAGCAGGCTTCCAGGACGGGGTGTGATCTCTTCAACTGCATGGTCGGTGCGTGTGGCAAGGAGGATGGTCTCTCAGATTCTGTTTCTGGCATTCATAACCTCTCTTTGAGTAAAGGGCATTTTGGAGCCTCTGGGAGTGCCAGTCTAGACAATCTAATTAGTTTATCCAGGACAGTTTTGAAACCATCACCGGGGTCAAAGCCCTCTTGGAAAAATTGTCTAAAAAAAAAAAAATCTCAGCTCACATCATTGAATGCTTGAATTCTTAAATATTAGAGTGTCATTTTTACTAGGAAGAAAATACCAAGAAATGCACAATTATTTAGGTTTTTTAATATCCTCTTTTTTTTATTAACAAAAGCCAATGGTAACAACTCAAGAAGAAAAGGTGTTTCACCTGACATGTCAGAAAAAAATGCAACCTTCTTCCAATTTGTGGGTATTTAACAATGTACCAGTCATTGCAAAATGCATCTCAGTCAACGCACCAAGGATTCAGTCTTCTACACATTTGACAGAGAACTGAACCCCGTTACAGCAGAACTTGCAGCTTGACCAAAAGTTAAGAAATTCTTCCCTTTGCACATAGACTAGAAGCAATATGTTTCAATAATAAGAAGCTCAGGCAAGTTATTTAACCTCTGGGTGTTCTACACATGAGTTAGGATTGTGTTTTTAGTCATATAAGAAATATAAGAAATTCAGCAATATAAGAATTCTAGTCTAAGATGTATTCCTATCTTTTCTTACTCATAATAGCCTGTACATTTTAATAATATAGCTATTTAGAAGAGATTGTGGCTTAATGAAATGTAATCTTTCTAAGCACAATTTTTTAGCTGAAAAAAAAGATTTTTGTATTTTACTCTATCTCATAGCTATTTTGTTGACATGCAAACATCTTACAACTTGAAAAGTGATATTTTAGGTTTTTTCCTTATTAGTATATAGAATCAAGTCAAAGTGAATTCCAAGTACTTTGCATTTTGAAGTGTATACAGTTAGCTCATTTTCAGACTTTCAGATTTCACTGGGGAGAAAAAACAAGCAAGTAGGTGCTTGGTTGCAGCAGCAAGTTGAATACATGAGCAATGACTAGAGCTGACCAGACACAGGACTCCAAAGGCTTTCTCTGAGTGGACATCTGAATGGACATCTGAATGGTATCTCAGTGGACAGGCCATTGAAGACCAAGCTTGTTAAACGGCATCTCGGTCGGGCTTGTGAGGCCAGGGGAGAAGGACATCACACAAGAGGGACTAAAGCTCTGTCTGCTCTCTGTGCCATTGGGCAGGTGTCACTGATCTGCTCACAGGGGAACATTGAAGCACAACCTTTCTTGCCTATTTTTTCTCAGAGATTGATAATGAAACGATGAGGTGGAGTGGGAGGGGCATGGCATGTAGAAATGCAGGTATCAATAATGGACATTGTATAGGCTGTTCTCTGTACAGGGTGGGCAAAAGTAGGTTTACAGTGGTGAGTATGTGAAACACAGTTCATTCTTCCATTACTATTTATTAATTATTGCATTATTTATTTGTACAATTGTAAACCTACTTTTCCCCAGCCTATAGTATAGCTGCTTGTCTTGAAACATATACATAAGAGAATTTTTGAAGGTTTTGTATGTATCTCAACAGTTTAAACAATCATTTCAGGGGGACAGGGGATAGGGTAGAAAGAACACAGGGGTGAAGGTGAGGAACTCTGGGTCTAATCCAAGCCCAGCCAGCAGGTGGCAGCGGCCTGACTCTGGAGCAGTCGCCATCACTTATCACAGGCACAGACAGGGTGGGTCATAGTCCTCACACCCCTTTCGGACCTCCATTTCAAGTTGACCTTGACTTTTCCTTAACAATCTTTCTCGGGAAGTTTATGACTTCTGAACAAGTAAATAAACACAGCGGGCAGATTAGCTTTTTCAGAAGCCTAAAGTGAATTCTTTTTAAATGGTGGCGGTGCTTAAAATTGTTACTATAAATTATTTTGGTTGTTTGCATGTACAAATTTCAGGGTTTATGATAAGAAAGTCTGAAAAAACTTGGATAGACACCGCTTGGGAAAGTTTTAAATGTTATATGAAGATACCGCATAACTAGCAGCAGCACTTGACCACCGTCCCTAACTGCCATCAGTCGGCCGCACCACCCATTCAGGCTCACGGGCAAGGAAGTGGTTTCCACTCTCAGTGCTGGTATCTATTATTGGGCCCAAACATGGCATTTTCACTGAGCAAGTACTTGTAACTAGTACTCTACGGTCCTTTACATTTCATTGTAATTTGATGTAATAAGTCTGGCAATTTGAATATCAGAGAAAATCCAACCCTAACTTCCCTCAGGAAGTGGGAAAGTCTTAGTATTTGTTCATCTGGGGAAAAAATGTCCCATGCTCCAAAACACAATGAAACTGGGAACAGATGGTATCCATCCTCCCGGGGCACTTAGCATAAGCTAAACAAACTCACGACACAGCTGACCGTTTGTGAGCACCGGCCACCGCGGGGCACCCCAAGAGCCGCAGCTCTGTGCTGAGGGTGGTCCCCTCACTGGTCCTGAGGGAAAGTCACGGCTGAAGCTGGGGCAGAGGCCAGGTGTAAGTGCTGCGCCATCAACACGGCTCTAATTCACACACATGTTTAATAAAAACAACCAAAAGCATTCCATTGTCCTGGTTTCTGCTTTCCAACTCAGTACCTGAGTGAGGATTAACCTATTTCTCTCCTCGTCAGCCAACAGGGGCATTGAGTGTGGAGGGAGCAGGTTTAGGAGACTTCCCCACTTCTCTTCAGGAGCCACTGCCCTTGCCCCTGTTGCTCAGAGCACAGCCTCCTGGGCTGGGCCATCCTTGGGCTTCCTTCAGAAGCTGCCACACATTCTGTCACCATGCTTCTGTGACTCAGGCTGTGAGGGGTGCATATTTTCCTCACTTCTTTCTCAGAGCTGGTCTTAAATGCAGAAAGTATGTTATGACAGAGTAAAAACAATAACTCAGAGAAACCGACTGGATCCCAGGGAAGAGAAATTGGCTAAATAGGAGTTAAATGTCTTACTTCGCCACTGGTCAGTCAACAACATTAACAGAGAGCCTACAAGGGCAGAGCCTACGTGGAATTCTCCCCTCTGTCCAGGCCACCCGCAGGGTCCCGCGTGGGAGAATGGCTGCCTGGCTCAGAAGAAGCCAAGGACAGTCACCCAACAGCCATGTCATAAGGGGTGTGTTTACTCATTCACTGAACACGCATTTCCTCAGCATCCACCGTGAGGCAGGGGTGAGGACAAGCAACGAATGGCATGAGTCCCCTTTCAGGTGCTCACTCTTGGAGGGAGGGCAGGAGGGAGGCAGCCAGTCATTATGCCAGACAAGTCAACGAAGTGATCGAAAGTGAACGGCTGACTCAGGGATGTAAGGAACAGCGCAGGGAATGCAGTCAATAATACTGCAATAACTGTATAACAGACGGTTCCTAGACTTACTGTGATGGTCACTCGGGTAACGTGTGTACATGTTAAAACACTATGTTACACACCCGAACCCAATATAATACTGCATTTCAACTATAATTAAAAATAGATTTTCAAAGCACGTGAACAGAATCATAGACTCAGGTAAACATGAATACCCTATATAAGCACTCCTCACTCTTTTTTCCCTGTCTTATGGTTTTCCTCATCAGCGCTCGGTCATTAGCACTATTGCCAATGGACACCATGTATTCGTTTGTGAATGTGTGGTTGCCTATCCCACCCCGTAGGAAGTAAGTGCTTAAAGACACGGGGCTTCTCTGGCTCACTGGGGCAAACCAGCCTCCAGAACAGAACACCACACCTATTAACTGCTCAATAAATACTTGTTGACTAAATCAGTGTATGAGTCCATAAACACTACAGAATTCATTTAAAAAATGGAGTGATCATCTAGAAAGATGGGAGGGAATGATGTTGGGTTATTACAAAAGGCAGTTAAATTTTGACAAAGGAGAAGCTGAAAAGTCCGTTGAGAGTGATTTGCTGGCAGGACCTCAGGAATATCTGGCATTAGGTCTGCGGCCCCCAGGTAGTTTCGTCTGCTTAGCATCCTGTACTCAAAGCCATGCTCCCTGTGGCTTTGGAGGGGCAGCCACCCCCAGACATAAGCTGCCTCAACCACAGGGCCCAAACCCAGGCCAGGCCGCTGGTTCCTCTCCGGGCATTTAAACCCCAAGCCACTGTGCTCTCGCAGTGGCCTGCCCCTCAGAAAGATGGGTCACACGTTCTTGCTTCTGAGACCCCAGCTGTCCTGGTTCCCATTCTCCCCAAGTCCCTTCTGGTCAGCTCTTCCCTCGTTTGTAAAACTATTAATATCCCTCCAACAAAGCTCTCTAGGACCACAGGGGCTGATTAAAAGATGAATGTGGTTTGGAAGGACTCCCAATAAAGCATTTTCACTGGATACCAAGTGGGGGCGGGTACTGAGCTAAGCTCTTCAGAGGAGTTGCCCA